TGTAGGGGTATTTAATGCTTGGCAGATTTTCCCATTCTTACCTCCTCTTATAGAACTTTAGTACCCAAGCCATGCAAAGACATTTTTTATACCTTAGTGATTATTCAAGTTCATTTTTTAGTCTGTTTCCTAATTATTTTTGAGTTAGTTCAATAAACTCTTTACTTTTCTGTAACCTAAAGACAGTTGAAAACTTCTGGAATAATATTTCCCAAATAACTTTGCAAGGAATCCCATTGTCCCAAGAAATGCTAATAGGAAGCCTGGAGAAAAAATCTTCTTGTTCCAAAGAGTTTGGTAAACACTGCATGTTGTATTTATGAGATGGAGCATAGCAAAGGAACTGAAAAGTCCTGCAGTGAGGAAAATAAATTTTGTTGACTCCGGAATTTCTCATATTTGCACTTGATTAGCTATTTAGGTGTCACATGATTGCTTAAAACTCATTATGTATAAAACCGAAGTACTTTATTCTTTTTTCTTGAGATGGTGTCTGGTTCTGTCACCCAGGCTAGAGTGCAGTGGTGTGATCTTGGCTCACTTTAACCTCCACCTGCTGGGTTCAGGCAATTCTCCTGCCTCAGCCTCCTGAGTAGCTGGGATTATAGGTGTGCACCATCACACCTGGCTAATTTTTTATATTTTTAGTAAAGATGGGGCTTTGGCATGTTGACCAGGCTGGGCTTGAGCTCCTGACCTCAGGTAATCCACCAGCTTCTGCTTCCCAAAGTGCTGGGATTATAGGCGTGAGCCACCACACCTGGTCAAAATGCCTTTTCTTTATCCCTCATTGTTTTTGCCTTTTAGTTGAGGTAGTCATCACTGGGAGTATTGAAATTGTCTCCTAGGTATCTTTTTGCCATCAGTTTTGAATAGTTTCAAGATAATCTTCCAAAAATGTAGAGCTGATAATTTTACTAATGGGCTTGTTACCAGTGGAGAATATCCAAGTTACCAGTGGTGAATCTGTACAGGTCTACAGGAATCTCAATTTTTGCCCCCTCAGGAGAAAGAATTTGACTGAGGGGCATAAGACAGAAAAAGAGTCCAAGGGAAGTTTCAAAGCAGGAGTGGAAGTTTATTTAGAAAGGCTTTAGAACAGGAAAGAAAGGAAAGTATGCTTGGAAGAGACCCAAGCGGACACCGAGGTCAAGTGAGGTGTTTAACATTGATCCTAGGACTTTAGAGGCTGGCCCCTTCCTCATGATTCTTTCCTTAGGGTGGGTTGCCCACAAGTACAGTGCCCTCCTTATTTTTGGGAAGTGAGCACACACACTGTGTTTAGGATGTTGTACGTATGCCCATCTGAGACTTTCTTCCCTTTTCCGGTTTGGTGCCCCTGGAAAGTATGTACTCTGCCATTTTGTCTCTCACTGCACACACCCAGGAAATTGCTTCTCCCTGGTGCCTGCATTCGATTAACACTTTAGTACAACAGGTGTAGACCATCAGGAAATGGTTTCTCCCTGTAGCAGCTGCCAGCTTATCACTTTTAGAGAGGCAGTGTGATAATTGCCAAACTATCATCTAACATTCCTAGTGGTGGGAGAGCCCTTTCCTGCTCACTCATGCCTATCTAACTACCTGTACCCGGGTTAAAACTTGATAGTGATCCCTGTTGTTTATAAGAGAATAACGTCTAAACACTTTTACAAGCCACACAGGATTCTTCATGATCAGGCCTCTGCCTACCTTTCTAACCTTATTTCTTACTTTCCTACCCCCATTAACTCCCTTGCTTAAGTCCTACAAATTACTAAAGTCATCATGACTCACCAGATTAATATTTATTAATATCATTTCCTTTGCCTGGAATGCCCTTTCCTTTCATATCCTTTAGCCCCTTGTCTGCAGTGACTCAATTCAAGAGTCACATACATTCATTACACTCACACACACACTGCTTAAAACATGAGAGTATGTGATTTGTCCAGAGCTCTGGACTTAGCTGGTTCTTGGATGTATTGAGTCTTTTGGGCCTGGCTTTGCAGACTTGTCTCTGTGCATTCCCTTCATTTTCAACTGGGACCTTCCACCTCCTTCTCTGCCCCACAGAAATTGGACCCTGACCCATTACATTGACTCTTTTCTTCAGCTAATTCTGAGACTTTGAGAGCAAGTAAACCTGACTTTCACTCTACCCTGCCCCAGCCACCTGTGTGCAGGGGAGTTGCTCAGCCTCTCAGAGCCTTCACATTTTGATCTGTAAACTGGTCCTGATGAGGATCCTTACTTCAAGGAATTGTGATGATGACTTTGAATTGAATTCTGTGGGAAAAGCAACCAGTGCAGTGTGGGCAGGGGGTAAGGCTCAGCCAGAGGTAACTCCCGAGTAATTTATCCATCATTTCCTCATTGGGAAGTGTTTGTATGCCACATGCTGCTTTATCAGGGTGGAGGAGCAGAGAGTCAAGACCACCTGCTCTCAAGGCATTGTCACTGTCCCTCACTATCCAAGTTAATGAAACAAACAGGTAAAACATAAACAAAAAGTCACAGCCAGCGGATAAGTGCCACTGAGGAAAGAAACAGAGTACAATGATGAGTGGCTAGAGGAAGCCACTTTAGACAGACTGGGAAGAAAAATGATTTGAAATACCAGTGGCCCAGTGGGAAGAGGATGCTAGTACTACTATACATTTATTTATTATTTTTTGAGACAAAGTTTCACCCTTGTCACCTAGGCTGGAGTACAGTGGTGCGATCTTGGCTCACTGCAATCTCCACCTCTCTGGTTGAAGCAATCCTTCCCCCTCAACCTCCCGAGTAGCTGGACTGTAGGTGCATGCCACAACAGCCAGCTAAGTTTTATATTTTTTTATAGAGACAGGGTTTCACCATGTTGCCCAGACTGATCTCAAGCTCTTGAGCTCAAGCAATCTACCCACCTCAGCTTTCCAAAGTGCTGGGATTATAGGTGTGAGCCACCATGACTGGCCCTTCCACTCTGATTTAAATTAAGTTTTAAATAAGTTATATAGCACATTTTAACTGGATTCTATCCTACCTCTTCCAGTAGATTCCCTTGGGCTAATCCTTTAACTTGGCCCCAGTTTTTTCGATTCTGATATTTTTCTGATTCTCAAGTGCCGCTTATTGGTAGATGCAATACGTATACATTGCGTTTTGTAAAGTAATGTTTCGCTTTGATGACTCTTAGTTGTGTAATCCTCTCTGAAGGCTTCCTCATACCTTTTAAGTTATTTATAAGCTCTTTTGCAGAGACTTTTAACCTGGGTATACTTCATTTTTGGTGATATTGGCATCCCCTTAAAATTGTAAACTTTTAGAGAGAGAAAAAACTTGACCATACATACCCTTCTGGAGAGAGAAAGGCATTATAAAGAGCTAAAAGCATGATAAAGATTTCTCCTCGGTTTTACATCTGCATTTGGCATAGCTACTGAGAATATTTCCAAAATTGGAAATCTAGTTTGAGAACTGAAATGGAACTTCTCTTTGCTCTTTCGGATTCCTCTACAGACCAAAATAGTGAATCTTTTGAGTATTTTTTTTAACTTTATTTTTTTCTAATATCCATGTAAATATGCACACAGAGGTTTACAGACATACTGAGATATATGTATCTACCTATGTAAGTAGAGGGAAAGTCATTTAGGAAGGTGCTGAAGGGGAAATCTACATAGAATTTTGGGGTTCTGCTGATAATCCTCATAGCTTGAACATAACATGTAACTGCAGCAAGCTGGATCTTGAGGTCCAACAGAGATTGGGGCCAGAGTAGGGGGGCCCTTCAGGCATAGCCGGGTCTGCACTGATTCTGACAAAGGGCCAGTGAGTACTTTTTTTTTTTTTTTTTTTTTTGAGACAGAGTCTTGCTCTGTCACCAGGCTCCAGGCTGGAGTGCAGTGGCGCAATCTTGGCTCACTGCAACCTCCACCTCCCGGGTTCAAGCAATTCTCCTGCCTCAGCTTCCTGGGTAGCTGGGATTACAGGCACACAACACCATGCTCAGCTAATTTTTTTGTATTTTTAGTAGAGTTGGTGTTTCACCATGTTGGTCAGGATGGTCTTGATCTCTTGACTTCGTGATCTGCCTGCCTTGGGCTACCAAAGTGCTGGGGTGAGTACTTTTCAACAGACAGACAGGAGATAACCTGCTGAGTGCTTGAGCTAAGCACTATGTCAGTGGGGGAGGCTGTAGTGGGCAATCATAATGCCAGTGGTAGGAGGAGCAGGCTTGAGATGAGATAGTCTGGTTGAAAAATGATGCAGACCTACTAGACCAACTGTAAAAGAGGCCCAGAGTTTGAGAGATTTTGGATGTTTAAGAATTGATATGAGTCATGAGAGGATAAGAGAGAGGAGAGAACTGGAAACCTGGCAGGGGGAAAGTAGGGTTTATTGCAAGGGAAATAATGGAGCAGGAGCAACTTATAAATGTTATAATGTTATAAACATAATGCTTTTTAAATTAATGTAGCAGAATTCTAATGGCGTTTACTCTCAATTTCTGTGGACGTATTTTACAACTGAGTAGATTTTTTTAATGATTTTTGCTATATTGTGCCATCCTAAGTTTTCCCTGTGTTCGTTTTTTTGATGTTCAGTTGGTTGCTTGGTTGGGTTTTTTGATACTTACTGATTATCTACTGGAAGCTTGGTCCCTGGTAGAACACTTAGAAATTTCAGGTTTATGGTTTCTATTAAAAATGGACAATATTTTCTTTCTGTGTAATAGGAAAGCTTCTAGGAATACTGTCTGTATTTGTCTGAATATCTGTCTTATATGTGAGTACATATATGCTCACTAATATGTATATTCTAATTCCTAGCCTCAGTTGTTGGCCCATATCCTATCTGAGCTGTGTTCAGAGATCCTTGACCTTGTCACATTGGCTTAAGGATAAGATGTGGTTTAGCCAAGTTATGTATGGAGGTCACTGAATCTAATTTTCTTTCAATAAATCGTTACTGTAAATGTGATGGATGAGAAATCTATACGGAGAATTGGTAATTCCAGTGCATGATATATTAATAGCCAATTTACTTATCTACACAAACAGCAGGAGGCAGAACTCTTGGCCATCAATCCTTTGACTGTTGTGCCTGTGTATTTCCTATCAACAAGATCTCCTAGAAAAGGAGGTTGGCATTTTCCATGTTTATTTTCTGTGTCTTCATTTTTTTTTTTAATGGCTTATGCACATCTGTAAGAATAAAGGAGGCTGGTGTTTGCTTCCCATGCATAGTTGAGAGGGGTAGTGTGGGGGTGGAACTGGAAGAATGCTCTCATTTGCACGGGATTAGGCAGAGGAAGTGTGCACCAGGAGTGGTATGAGCATCAAACAACCACAGGAAACAATGCTTGGCAGTCACTGCAGCTGGGTAGAGTCTGGCCACTCAGGCTTCCTCTGGATCGAGTTTAGTTTCTGAGTCACTTGTTTTCCACTTGAAGCACCTGTGTCTTTGGAGAACGCCATTGAAGAAATATTAGTTCATTATGGGCCTTTCTCTGGTTTGCCTTAATGTCAATGAGGCAATGTCAATTATAATATTCTCTGGACATGAAAAGTTCTGGTGAATCAACAGTGTCTGAGGACCAGTGGTATCAGGACAGTCCAGTGCATAGAGCAGTCAGAAATCATTAGGTTAGAATAAATGAATGGTATTTAAATCTTTCATAATATTCCCCACTGAAGTGTGTGTGCATGTCTACACACAATTAATTTTACACAGCAATGTGCTTGGCGACCCTAGGTGTAGGCTTTACCTTGCTACTCTCATTCTGTGTTTCTGTGTAGAGGAAATAAAGGATGCTGCTTGCTGCTTCTGAGTAAGCAGGTGCCTTATAGATTGTGTGCTAGATCATTTGCACTGAGTTGTCTTTTAAAGTAGCTGCATATTCATAATTCATCTTAGACAAGGTGATGACTCTAGAATGGTTGTATTAGGATATGAGTGGACAAAGGACACTATTTTCATTGCTCAGTCTGTGTCAAATTTTAATGATTGATAGCACTGGATATGGATTGGGTAGAGTAATAAAAACATACATAGAAGGCTAGATTCATGTTAGAATTAGCTGTGCATCTGCTGCTTACATCTGTAAAGTTTAACAAGGATTCTTTAGCAAAATCACTGCTGATTTTTCCTAAGAGCCTTAGGCTTTTAGGAAGAAGTGGCAGAAAAATTTGAATTTATTGGCTGTCAGATGATAAAGTGCAGTTTCCTAGGGAGATAGCAATGTAAAATTTTAGCAAAGTGACTATAAAATATAATGATGAGAGGGAGATGGTATTAATTAGCATTGGCTTTTACAAAAAAATTGCTGAAGTGTTTTTAGCTTTGTTTACTTGGATTTTGGTCAGTAGACTGCCCGCAAGATTTTCCAAATAAATAGATGTGTAGATAGGTAAATGAGCAATCAAATGCCTATATCCCTTTTTTTCTATACCCTTTTGGACTCATGGTGGGAATCCCTTCTGCAGTATTTGAATGATTCCTGGTGATCTAACAGAACTTTCTTAAGTATCAACAGCTCCAATTATGGATCCAATTATGGGCTAATGAATTATTTAGAAATTCATCACTAATAATAACACATAATCTATCTTTCTGAATTTTCTATTATTGGTTTTAGAGCAGCACAGAATTAATTTCTACACCTTCTGTAGGACAGTCCTTTAAATATTTGAAGACTGTTACCATGTTTGTGTTCTTTTTGTCTTTTTTTGTGTGTATAAAAGACAGGGTCTCACTGTGTTTCCCAGGCTATATTTAAAGTCCTGGGCACAAGCAATTCTTGTGCCTCAGCCTCCCTAGTAGCCGAGAGTGCAAGTGAGTGCCACTGTGCTCAGCTTTTCTTCTTAAAATAAAATAAGCATAGTCTCCTCAATTTTATCTTTTTTGATTATAACTTTCTAACTTCTGTGGATAATTTGTGATGTTTTATTATGATAACACACAGGAAGCAGCACAGTTAAAGGTTAAGAAATTTAAAATTGAAGAAGAGAATAGAAGCCAATAAAGAAAGGGACACTATCGTTATACCACGTAGTTTGAGGATTACAGTGATCTCTCAGCTGCTCCGAAGTCAAGAAAAAAAGAAACCCAAACAACAGGTTCATCCAGAAATGAGTTCATGAACTAGCTTAAAGGCTTTGTTCCCAGTGTAATTTGAAAAATGCTAAATTAAAAGCCCAAGAACTTAAATTATTGTAGAGATACTCAAACACACAAAACCTAGAAAACGACTGCAATTATCACTTATATATCTACTTTTGAAAAATTATCATTTCTGTCTCTACAGAAACATATGAAAACTAGCCAGATGTGGTGGCATGCATGTGTCGTTCCCAGTACTTGGAAGGCTGAGATGGGAAGATGGCTTGAGCCCAGGATCAGGAGGCTGTAGTGAGCCGAGATCATGTCACTGCAGTTCAGCCTGGGTGATAAGAGTGACACCTCATCTCAAAAACAAACAAAAACTAACATTTGACCATTTTTGATTTATCTACTATCTATTAAAAATACATACATATTGCTGTTTTTGCTGAACAATTTAAAAGTTAATATAGGTAAGGCATCATGACATTTTTTTCCGAAATACTTCAAATGTTACAGTTCTCAAAATAAGGTTACAAGACCAGACTGGCCAACATGGTGAAACTCTGTCTCTATGAAAAATACAAAAAAAAAAAAAAAAAAAAAAAGATAGTTGGGCATGATGGTATGTGCCTGTAATCTCAGCTCCTTGGCTACTTGGGAGGTAGGAGAATTGCTTGACCCGGGACCTGGGAGTCAAGGTTGCAGTGAGTTGAGATCATGCCACTGCATTTTAGCCTAGACTACAGAGCAGCACTCCATCTCTAAAACAACAACAAAAAAAGAGCCGGGTTTGGTGGTATGCACCAGTAGTCCCAGTTATTCAGGAGGCTGAGGTGCGAGGAGGTCAAGGCTGCAGTGAACTATGATGGTGCCACTCTACTGCAGCCTGAGTGACAGAACAAGACTCTGTTTCCAAAACCCAAAAAAATGCCTCAAGAATCTTTGAGAGTTTTAGAGTCTTAGGTGCTCTACTGCTAAGATTTTTAGCTGTCTAAACAACAACAAAAAAAGAGAAAACAAAAACACCAAAACCCAAACAACAAATTATTAAGAAAGTATTTAAGCCATTTAAACTTTGTCAAAAATGTTAGAGTTCTGATTTATCCCTGCATAACTGTATAATTTCAAGAATATTTAAAGAATGAGATGTCATATTCTTGTCCATGGGATTTCGTTTCTATGGAGAGTTTACCCAAATATTGTTTGCTGTTACTCACATTTCCAGGATACTTTCATCTAGAGCAGCAGTCCTCAACCTTTTTGGTACCAGGGACTGGTTTTGTGGAAGGCAAGTTTTCCATGGACTCGGGGTTGGGGGAATGGTTTGGGGGTGGAACAGTTCCACCTCAGATCATCAGGCATTGGATTCTTATAAGGAACACACAACCTAGATCCCTCGCATGCACCATTCACAGTAGGCTTCATGCTCCTATGAGAACCTAATGGCTTTGCTGATCAACCAGAGGCGAGGCTCAGGCAGTAATGCTCACTCACCCACTGCTCACCTCCTGCTGTGCAGACCTGTCCCTAACAGGCCTTGGACCAGTACCAGTCTGGGGGTTGGGGACCCCTGATCTAGAAGTTTCACTGCTTTTCTTTTTTCTTAAATGGTATTTTACTTAAATGTTTCTTCGATTTTGATTCTCAGAAAGATAATAGTTAAAATTTCAAAAGCAATAGTTTTAAGGGTGGTTTAGAGTAGAATAGAAGACACTTTTTTTAATGAAAATTTTGTGTTATTTTCAGTGCTGTCAATATGTTGATTTCAAAATGAAGATCACATTTTTAATCTTAGCCCTCGATTAGTAAAGAAATGGAAAGAAATCAGTAAGTTTTTTTAATAGTTGAGTGGATTTTCCTCCTTTGGTTTAAATTGTGGTGGTGGTATATCTTTAGGAGTGGTTAACGCACTTAAGAGTGACAAGAATTCCCTAAAACTCAAAAAGTGTAAAATGTATAAGCATATTCCGTATTATGTTTATTATTGCCAGAGTGATTGCAGTTTGTTTAGGAAAACATTTTCTTTACCTGTGTGCTATTATATACTACTTGTTACAAATAAAATCTGCCTCAAAATTGGGTCTTGTAAATAATCTAATATTTGTATCCTCTTTTTAACGAAAAATTTCCCATGTAGTCCATATAGCTTTCTTCCGCATATTTCTCTCTCAAGCTTTAGATGATCTAAAAGGAATCTAGAAAGCATTGTTCATTTATCCTTTAAGAGGCCTAGCAAAGTCTTTTGGTAAAGTGGACAATTCTTTTTCTGAGACAGGAATCAGGCACAGTCAGTTGATAACTTCCCCTTTCATTCTGCATTCATTCTGAATATTTCATGACAGAAGCTTTTAGTTTTGTTACAGAAAAAAATGCAAAGCCCAGATTTGCCCAAAAGAGTATACCCACAAGAAGGTGTATGGCACTGAAACAGAAGCTGAAAAGTGTTGAAATGGAGGCTTGGCGTGGTGGCTCACGCTTGTAATCCCAGCGCTTTGGGAGGCTGAGGGGGCAGATCACGAGGTCAGGAGATCAAGAACATCCTGGCCAACACGGTAAAACCCCATCTCTAAGAAAAATACAAAAAAAAATTAGCTGGACATGGTGGTGCATAGCTGTAGTCGCAGCTACTCAGGAGGCTGAGGCAGGAGAATCACTTGAACCCAGGAGGTGGTGATTGCAGTGAGTCGAGACTGCACCACTACACTGCAGCCTGGGTGACAGTGCGAGACTGTTCAGAAAAAAAAAAAGTGTTGAAATGGATTTTTTTTTCCATACTTCATATCTTCCATTGTTCCTAAACCTGCACCATTCATTGTCATGGAAAATGTTACTACAGTCTAAAAAGTTATAACAAAATTCAAAATTCATACTTAACTTGGGATTTTTAATGAGAATAGTAAAACAATAGGAATGGTGTTACTTTATTATTACCTTTAGTACCACTTCAAGGAATGACTGATTTATTTTTTGGCTAAAAGTAATGTATTAGCAACGTAACAATACCAAGGAAATCTTACTTTTGTGAAATAGCTTCTCTTTGGTACATATGTTTATACCACTGAAAGTTTAACTTTGTAGATTTTGATATAAGTGAACATAGGCACATAAGATCGTAAAATCTCAAGGCAGTCAAGTATGCAGCAATCACTTCAGTTAATTAAGAAAACCAATTTCAGGCAAAAAAGAATGGCTCATTACTTTATCTACTTTGTACGGTTTTGAGGAGGATTAAAACAGACAATGCCATATGTAAGGTTTTCAGCATACTGCCTGTCATGAGTGTGCTAGAAAAATATTAGTTTGTAAAATATGTGTTTAAACTTGATTTATGGGACAGAGACAGTTTTTTGCATATTTCTATTTACATATTTTTCCTCCATCTTTAAATGAAACCTCTTTTCACTACAGTTTGTATTGCATACATTGCATCAAATTCAGGTTAAAGATACTTGCTTAATGTTTTTGAGGAACCCAATGAGAGTTAAAGAGGGATGAAAATAGAGAGAAAACAAAATACATAAAGCATTTACTACTGATTGCTCCATAGTTATCAGTGGTCATGTAATAATTCATTACCCTTTTAAAATTAGATGATGAATTGGCTGAACTATATGAAATTGCTAATATTTGACAAAAATTATAATTTCTTGTGGTTTAACCCAGTTCTGTGACTCTGGCTTGCTAAGAAGACAAGGTATTTGTCCTAAAATGAGAAGAGCTGTCAGTGTGGATGGTTGAGTTGATCTTTCTGCATGGCCTTTTTTGTTCACTTGTGTGTACGACTATAGCCATATAGTATGTATGGTAGGGCGTCAGATTTTCCTATAAACATTTTCCTTTAATGTTTCCTTTAAGTTCCAAAGAGGAACTTAGAAGCAGAATTGTGTGTAATGGAAAAGATTCTTGGAATGAGTCAGGGGATGTGGGTTTGCATAATAACTACAAAGACTTTTTCAACTCTGTCTCTGATTGCCTGACTTCCCATTTGTTAAATTATCTTTCTGCTAGTCAACAAAAACTTAGTGTTGACTATTTGGAAGTCCACATTATCATTAATAGGATTTGCTTCTAGCTGGTTATATGTGCTAACTGATACAATGTCTGTACTCATCTCCCTGATTCTTTGCAAAATTGTATTTCTATAGTGGTAAATGATTGTCCTTAGTAGTTACTGCTTAATATTGTTATACCTGGCTTACTACATTTTAATTTTCTCAAGAATTTTAATTTGTGATTGCAAAGCTAGACAGATGTAAAGTTTGTTTTCAAACATGTATATAATTTGTGGAAAATTAAAAACTGAAGGTAGGAATTGAGGATAAGAACTTTGGAAGATATTTTTGTTGTTGTTGCTCCTTGTGTTCACAAATAGTAACACAAATAGTAACTCATATCTGACATCTTTTTAGTAACACATTTCATTTTGCAAATGTAAACTTTACTCATTGCCTCAAAGGATGATGTTAAAACAAATAAACACTGAAAATCAATGAAGAATATTCTACAGGTCTTTGAAATCTTGTGCAAAAAGATCATCTGTAAACAAATTTACGGTTTTCTGTTCCACAGAAGTATGTCACAGTCTTTGTGAAAGTCTATTAAGAACAAACCTAATGATTTATTCTTCTTTGAAGATAAACCTTGTGAGTGCATGGGAGGGTGATGAAATAAGTTTACAGACATTCCCTTTGCTTAATTCCTTTTCCTTGATCGTTCATGGGGAGATCGTGAAGTTGACAGGTGTTCCCTATTTAGCATCATAAAAATCAGCTAGACTAATCTTGTTTGATGGTTGAATATTTTACTTAATACTCCTGTCATGTTAGCATTTATTTTTTAGAAAGGCAATTCTGAGACTGTTAATTGACCTCAAGAATATGGGGAGAAATTTATGGCCATTTTTATGACTGATGACAAGGTTTCACACATCTTTAGAATGGATATGATTTTTTGAAAAATGGCTTGCATATTTGCCTTTATAGTTCTTTTTTCTCATCTGCTTCTTCTTTTTCTTCTTTTTTTTTTTTTTTAGAGAGAGAGGATCTTACCATGTGTATTAGTCAAGGTTCTCTAGAGGGACAGCACTAATAGGATATATACATATACATGTAAATATATATAGGTACATATATGAGAGTTTATTAAGCAGTATTAACTCACACCATCACAAGGTCCCGTAATAGGCTGTCTGCAAGCTGAGGAGCAAGGAAGCTAGTCTGAATCCCAAAGCTGAAAAATGTGGAGTCTGATGCTTGAGGGCAGGAAGCATCCAGCTTGTGAGAAAGATGTAGGCTGAGAGGCTAAGCCAGTCTAGGCTTTTCACGTTTTTCTGCTGCTTTATATCCTGGCCATGCTGGCAGCTGATTAGATGATGCCTACCCAGATTAAGGGTAGGTCTGCCTTTCTGAGCCCACTGACTCAAATGTTTATCTTCTTTGGCAACACCCTCACAGCCACACCTTTGCATCCTTCAAGCCAATTAAGTTGACACTCAGTATTAACCATCATACCCTGTCATCCAGGGTGGAGTGCAATGGTGCAATCCTAACTCACTGTAACCTCAAACTCTTGGGCTAAAGTGACTCTTCTGCCTCAGCCTGCCAATTAGCTTAGGACTATAGGCACACACAACACCACACCCAGCTAATTTTGAAATTTTTTGTAGAGATGAGGTCTTACCATGGGCTCAGATTGGTCTTGAATTCCTATCCTCAAGTGATCCTCCAGCCTCAGTCTCCCAAAGGACTGGGATTACAGGGGTGAGCCACCATGACTGGTCTTTCTTCATGCTTCGAAATTGCTTGAATCCTTAGATTTTTGTAGTAAAAAACAAAAATCTCTTATTTGTTTTTTTAGAAAGGTTTCAGCCAATTTTTTTGAGAAGCTGGTTATTTAACAAGAGATTTAAACTTCAGAATAAAGTTTAAATAAAGCCTTATCAATTAGTTATTGATAATCTCTGGTTATTTAACAAGAGATTTAAACTTCAGAATAAAGTTAAGATAAAGCCTTATCAATTAGTTATCATAACTTTGATAGGCAATTTAAATTAACTATTATAACACTAACATTGATTTTTTTGTATTTCTGTCCTTGGGAAAAAGTACCATTTAAAATTTCATGTGTCTCTTGATCAGCAAATCAGTATGTTATATAGAAATTTCAATTGCCTAGTCATAAAAAAAGTTATATTCCTGCTTTGACTTTGGCTCAAATCAGAAAACTATTATGTAAAAATTTACAGAATAATGCAATACCCTCTACTCAGTAACTCCAAACTGCTAAAAATATTATAAATGTAAGCAGTTTTCAGGAGCATGCAATGTAGGATATTTTCACTGGAATGATATAAACCATAATCAATTATATTTACCTGGCTGCCGCCATTACCATCACCTTCCTTCAGTGTCTCACCTTGTATTTGGGAGTCCCAGATTTTGAGTAGTCCTGCAGCTTACCATAGGCTTATCTCTCATCTTGCTTCTCACCTGCTCCACCTGTGTCAGTGTTCATTTCTGAGCTTGCTTATGAGTGTGCATGGGGTGGTCTCCTACTCAGAAGATGCCAGACTGTGCTTCTGTTGCTTCCTAGCTGCCTCTGCAGCCTTTGTGAGGGAAGACTGTTGGGCACCACTATGGTAGTGATGAAGCTTTTGGACCTCAAGCACCACACTGTCTTCTGGGTAGAAGTGGAAGGAGCCTGTACTCTCAGTTCTCTCCACAAATTTTCCTTTCCCTGGACTCAGCAGATTTTTTTCTAGAGTTGACACAAAGGAAGAGCTGTGGGACATCTTCCTGTATCTCCTGTATCTTGCCTTTGAGTTCTTTTTTTTTTTTTCTTTTCCTGGTTGCTTTATTATTAGGCTGAATTCTTTTCCATTAGGTTTTGTAGTCCCTCATGCTATTAGATTTATTGTCACCCTGCTAGTCCTAACAAGGATATCAGTCATATTTGAAACTCACAAATTTGGGATAGGCTCCAGTTGTTACACAAGTCCTACCCCTGCTCTTAATGAATTTAACATATAAATGAAATTAACATGCATGGTGGGGTGGCTCACACCTGTAATCTCAGCACTTTGGGAGGCCCACCCTGAGTACCCCTTGAGCTCAGGAGCTAGAAACCAGCGTGGGCAACATGGCAAAACCACATCTCTACAACAAAATCCCAAAATTAGCTGGGTGTGGTGGCATGCAACTATAGTTCCAGCTACTCAGGAGGCTAGCCTTGAACTCAGGAGGCTGAGGTGGGAGGATCGCTTGAATACAGGAGGTTGAGGCTGCAGTGAGCCATGATTGTGCCATTGTACTCCAGTCTGGGTAACAGAGCAAAGACCCTGTCTCAAAAAAATAAAATAAATGAAGTTAACAAATAACAGAGATTTATTGGAGCCTTTTTTGTGTGACAGAGTGGAGTACTGTTCACCAAACCCATTTCTTCTTATTTTAGGGTACATAGGCAGATTACATTTCCAAGCCTCCTTGTAGTTAGACTTAACCATGTAACCAGGTTTTAGCCAGTGGAGTGTGTAGCTGTAATGTGTACAATTTCCAGGCCTGTTGCATAAAAACATTCGATATGCTATCCTCCATGCTTTTGTTTTTTGTGTGATTTTGCCAAATACCAACTGAATACAGAGGTCTTGGCTTTAGAAGATGGCAAAGGCACAAAGGGGATAGATGCTGGGTCACTATGTAGGAGAAAGTCACCTGCTAACCAGGAACTTTGCTGGATTATTATGTGAATGAAATTAAACTTTAGCATGTTAAAATAGAGAATTTTAGGGTTTGTTACAGCAGTTAGTGTTATGCTTTCACATCATTTTTTAGTAATTCTCAACCTTTTTCACCTTCACGTACCTGAGAGATGAGAAACTTCCATCATATTCGTGATTCACTATGGCAGGAAGAGATAGTTTCAGGAAGGTCAGGGAGGTCATTGTAATGACATACTGCAAAAGTGGTTGAACAGGAAAATTGCAGAGAAATGCCATTAGCTGTAGCAACTTTTAGACCACTGTTAAAACAGTTCAGTAGAGTGGAAGTAGCAGCAGATGAGATTGCAGAAGCATGAAAAGTAAATGGTAGATGAGCAAATGGAAGCAGTGAATGAAGTTATCCTAATATATTAGAGTCTATCAACATAATCATAAATTGCAGAATTTGTGGAAAACAAGGGAATTGTTTTTCATTGAAGCTATTTGTTAAATAGCAAGGATCTTCAGCAATGTAGCAATAAGCTAACTATGTATCTATTTGCCTAGGGTGGTGTGGGGTTATGTCTGTTAATCTAGTATAATTTTATTATTATTATTATTGAGACAGTCTTGCTCTGTCACCCAAGCTGGAATACAGTGGTACAATCTTGGCTCACTACAACCTCTGCCTCCCCGATTCAAGCGATTCTTGTGTCTCAGCCTCCAGAGTAGCTGGGATTACAGGCGCACATTACCACGGCTAATTTTTATATTTTTTGGTAGAGACAGGGTTTTGCCATGTTAGCCAGGCTGGCCTCAAACTCCTGGCCCCAAGTGATCTGCTGGCCTCAGCCTCCCAAAGTGCCGGGATTATAGGCATGAGCCACCACACCCGGCCCCTAGCATAATTATTTATAGTGACCTTTCACTCTTAGCAATATCCCAGCTTAAAAATAAAATACATTGGGAGGCCGAGGCGGGTGGATCACAAGGTCAGGAGATCAAGACCAACCTGGTCAACATGGTGAAACCCCGTGTGTACTAAAAAATATACAAAAAATTAGCTGGGCATGGTGGCACGTGCCTGTAATCCCAACTACTCAGGAGGCTGAGGCAGGAGAATTGTCTGAACCCAGGAGGCGGAGGTTGCCGTGAGCCGAGATCGCGCCATTGCACTCTAGCCTAGGTAACAAGTGCGAAACTCCGTCTCAAAAAAAAAATAATAAAAATAATAAAAAATAAAATAAAATACAGTTACCCCTACACTGTGACAACTTCATCTGCACAGGGGTTTCAGATCTGAAAGAGTGTCTGGTAAACACAAAGAAAGTTAACTCATAAATAACTTGTCTGTGGAACGTTCTTTAGTTACCTTTTACAAAGGAGTTAAAATTCTGTTTCTTGGTTTACTTAAGGATATTGTCGAATTGGCCATAAAATAGGATTGTGTTTAGGAAATAGAATGTTGGATAACCTTCATTGATCTTGATTCTCTTTTGATCTATTTTTGTTTCTCTGGCTTTTCTCTTTCTGTGATGGTCTTTCTTTGTCCTGCTTTGTCATCAAAAATATTTTTTTTGTTTTTTTTTTTAAAAAGACGTTAAAAGAACTTGCAGCAATATAAGTGATTTTTTTCTTTTTTGGTGATTGAGGGATGGGAGAAGGATCTTTCTGAGTATAGAAATAAGAACTTGTACAGAAGGTGATAAATTTTCATTTATGAAAATGGAGCACTTATGTATCTCAAAGAGTACCCGCAAATAAAACGCACATATGACCAACTCTAACACAATATGTATTATTTATGGAAAATATAGTGTTAAAAGTTTTATTCTTCAAAAATAATAAATAATGGATTATAATAAAAACAATTATCTCCTAAGTTGCAGCATAGATTATTGCATCTAGTACTCCCAGCTCCATATTTTTTATTATTTCACAGATGATGGTTAGGTCACTTGCCATAGCCACGTGACTAATAAGTGATATAGAAGGGATTTTGAACCCCTGTGGTCAGATTCCAGAGCACAAGCTCTTAACCGCTGCTCTCCTAGATCAATACATAAATGGAAAACTCAAAAGAAGAAGCCTCAAAAAACACAGATAGTTGTTTTTGCCCACATCCATGTGCACATATTTGCATACACTTATTAATACAAGTGACCAGTAAACATGCTTTTAAACCTGATTAAAATGTCAAAATCAATACAAATTTTATTTTAAAAAACCCTACCTTCATTTTTGTCTGTTAGATTGGCGAGTATTTTGTTCCTGTGCAAACGCCCAGAATTGATAAAGGTGGAGTGAAATGTTGGCAATCCTGTCCTTTAATAGCATTCTATGGTGAAGTGCACTCTCAAGGGCACTGATACAGTAGTTGCTGAAACACCATTTTTGGTTAGGATTTGCCATGGTGGATCCAGAACCTTGAAATTGTTTATGGTCTTTGACCTAGTAATTATGCTTTTAAGACATTATCTAATAAAATAAATATTCAGAGAGTCTCACATACTTAAGATACCAGTTGATACGTGCAATGTTAGTTTAATAATTTTTTTTTTTGAGATGGAGTTTCGCTCTTGTTACCCAGGCTGGAGTGCAATGGCATGATCTTGGCTCACCGCAACCTCCGCCTCCTGGGTTCAGGCAATTCTCCTGCCTCAGCCTCCTGGGTAGCTGGGATTACAGGCACGCGCCACCATGTCCAGCTAATTTTACTATGTTTTTAGTAGAGACGAGGTTTCACCATGTTGACCAGGATGGTCTCGATCTCTTGACCTCGTGATCCACTCGTCTCGGCCTCCCAAAGTGCTGGGATTACAGGCGTGAGCCACCGCGCCTGGCCTAGTTTAATAATTTTTAATAAAAACTAACTCACTCATTCAATAGAAGACAGTTGGTTAAATGAGTTTTCAGAGCTTCATAAAATGGAATACTCTGCAACTATTTAAATAGAAGAATAATGGAATGAAATAAAACCTCACATTATATTAATGAAAAGTGTCTAATAAAATAGTATGTAAACCATGGTACCCGGTTATATTAAGATTATGTATGTAAGCCTGGAAGGAAGCTTACCAAAAATGTTAACTGTGTTTGTTTTTCACTGTCTGTATTAGAGGTGGCTTTTATTTTTATTTCTTTTCTATTTTAAAAATTTTTGTATACAGTGAATTTGTTTTCCTTAATTAAGGACTCATTTTATTTTAAAAGTACTTAAAGAAGATTTTGAAGAGTTCTTTAGGAACATACCTGTGTCTTCAAATTATTTCTTTGGGAAGATTGAGAATTATGCATAGAAAGGAACAGGGAAACTAAAAAGGAAATTTCATCGTTTGTATAAGAGAAAAATATATAGTCCCATGGTAAATGCGTTTTTTTTTTTTTTTTTTTTTTTTTTTTTTTGAGACAGAGTTTCACGCTTGTTACCCAGGCTGGAGTGCAATGGTGGGATCTCGGCTCACCACAATCTCTGCCTCCTGGGTTCAAGCAATTCTTCTGCCTCAGCCTCCCAAGTAGCTGGGACTACAGGTGTGCGCCACCATGCCCAGCTAATTTTTTGTATTTTCAGTAGAGACGGGGTTTCACCATGTTGACCAGGATGGTCTAAATCTCTTGACCTTGTGATCCACCTGCCTTGGACTTCCAAAGTGCTGGGATTACAGGCGTGAGCCACTGCGCCCGGCCAGTTGGAAAATGTATATTAAAGGTATAGGTGCAGTCTTAGTTCCCTTTTCATAAACAATTCACAGCTCTAATAGTCATTCCTCTGGCCTTAGTTGCTTAGCAGCAGAATCCCTAGCTGAAGGTTTGATAGCTTATTTGTGCCTCTGAACACAGCCTTTCTAAGAATCAGTTCCGCTTCATTGAGGATTACAGATTAAAAACAATCTCACTGTAATATAATTGAAATTGAGAATTACACTTCCATTTTATTGTATCTAGTAAAACCTGAAACTCTTATAAAACTTTTTGTTAA